TTAGAATGATTTGTTCAATTAGCTTTAGATCTGGTAGAGTGCTGTATGAGTGGGTGAATGAGGGCACAGATTGTGTTGTAAAGCACTTTGAGTGTCTTGATCAGATAGAAAGGTGCTATATAACTACAGACCATTTACCATTTAATAATATAATTACCGGTATGACAGAAAATGGAGGATTTGCTTTCAGTTACCTTCATACAGATGAACGCACTTCCTGTTTATCACTGTTGTATTCAGCTGCTCATGAGGTCGACTGCAGGGCTTTGTCATCTGTTACATTTTTCCAGACGCGGTTTAAGTTTTGGAAATGGAATAAACTATTAATACAGTTTGTTCCAGTTTATTCCACCCTCTAAAGCAAGGCTATTCAAAAAACTGCTCAGCAACTCAGTGGCCGGACATCCAGCAATAAGTCATTATGTAAACAAACAAAGTATTACAATGATCTGTTACCTTTTAAATTTGTTTACTTTGTCACATTGAATCATAAATGCAAACTTTATAACTTTATTTTTCAGGGGTGCTGAGTAAAAATTTAGGGGTGCTGGAGCACCCCCCAAAAGAGGCTAAAATGGCCACTGGATCATAGTGATCATGTATTTTAAAGGAATATATTGTGACCCCCGCGATCCAAAAAGGAAGAAGCGTGTAAAAATGTATGGATATTTGAGGAAGGGTTTTGTTTTTGCTTTTTTGTTTGTAGTGGAAATCCTGCAGGACCTGTTCTTCATGAGGATAAGAGACTCGAACCTTCCTGTAGAGGAGACGCAGATGATGCAGCGAGGGACGGTCAGGAGGGCTCAGACTTTTGCAGGGAGGGAGGACAACCCCAGCGTAAAATGTAAGACTTGTTTGTTGTTTTTAAACTTGAATAATTTTAAGAATTTATGCACACCATCAGTTCATCTAAAGAAACATATGTTGTAAATGAACTTGAGTGTTATCATCCACTCACGTCACTGAGCTAAACAGCAATTAGCTTAAAATTATTTCCAACTGTGTTTACCGCAAAGCTGTGTGCTCATTACTTTGGTATGAATTCTCATGAGTAGGTTACCTGCTGAAAAGTGTAGTGTTTCGAGATGAAGCAACAGATGTTTTATTGTATTTAATTTATTTACTGACTGTTCATTAAGCATAAAATGTTTATCAGAAACAGTTTATTCTTGGCAACATGGAGTTGTTTTTTTTCTTAACTTTGGGACAAAACGCAAAATGAATTTGGATAAAATCCTCTTCAGAAAATGTCTTTGTTGTTAAAATAAGTCATACTTCATCTTGTACAATAGGTCCATCCTAATTAAATAAACAAATTAATGGAAAAAAAAAATTTTCCTAGACTTTTGATGTGACTGATGGTTTTTCATTTGAACTTTCTCAGATGGAAATGCAGTTGAGGCTCCTGATGTAAGTGTGGACATTTCATCGTACAGCAGATTAAACAGCTGTGAACATCTGCTCAAGAGAATGTCCCTCTCTGAAAGTCTGGAACAGTCTGTAAGTGAGGCAGATGGAACGAATCTAAACTCTGGATTTTTATCTCTTTTATAATTTACACACACGGTCAAATTTGTTTGTAACCTCTAGTTAAAAATATTGAAAAAACACACGTTTGAATTTTGGTTTAACAGATTTAAAAATAAATAAACTAATGAAACTTACAAACGTGATGATACGCCTAGAAAAGATTGGGGAAAAAAATTGAGCAAAGGGACATGTTGAACTCCGGAGTGTTGTGTAATCAACATCACCAGTGTCTTCAGGCAGTCTGTCAGTCAGTCTGCCTATTTAAAGGGTTAAATGTAGTCACTGAGCTGTTTGGTATCATGGTGTGTACGCCGCTGAACATGGACCACAGAAAGCTAAGGGCAGAGTGTCTCAGGAGCTTAGAAAGGAATTGATTGGCCAGATGTTAAAGATAAAGGCTATAAGAGCATCTCCAAGCAGCTGGATGTCCTGTCACAGTTCAGAAGTTTAAGGTAGCCATCCTCCTGGACATGACCGCAAGAGGAAAACTGATGACAGATTGAAGAGGTGGATAATATGAACAGTAACCAAAAAGCCCAGAACAACTTCAGATAGAGCAGAGGTGAGCTCAAGGTCATCGGTGTCGCACCGTCAGTCACTGTTTGATCAAAGTGGACTTAATGAAAGACGACGGAGGAGGACATTGAATCGTAGAAAAGCAAGACTCAAATTTTCCAAAATGCGTTCTGACGAATCACAAAGCTCCGGGAAGGATGTCGTTTGGACGGATTTGGCATAAAGTCCCATCAGCTCCGTTTTCACAGACCCAAAAATGAAACTTGCAAAGAGAAGAGCACAGGACCTACAGTGAAACACGGAAGCGGCTCGGTTCTGTTCTGGGGCTGCTTTACCACATCTCAATATGTGCAGGGTACAAATAAATCTCAAGACCATCAAGGCATTCTGAGACGTCAGAAAGCTTGGGCTCAGTCATGGGCAATGGATCCTCCAACAGCTAAACACACCTTGCATGGCTGAAAACCAAACTATTCTGAGGCTGCATTTTTAACCCTGATCGCAATCTTGTTGAACTTCTGTGGAAGAAGCTGAAACTTGTAGCCGGGAAAAGAAACCCTTCAAACCTGAAACAGCTGGAGGAGTTCGTTCATGAGGAGTGGGTCAAAATACCTGTGAACAGGTGCAGAAGTTTCAGCAAGAGTTACACAAGTCACTCGATGGCCTCAAAGGTACCATTTTTTTTATCAATAACTGGTGCCGTTTTCTTGTCGAGGTCAGATTCATTAGTTGTTTTTTTTGTTTTGTTAAACCAAAATTCAAAAGCAATGTCTGAATTTCTTTAGCTGAAGTTTCACTAACTTTCCTTTTGTTGGTTTCAAGTTATTTCCTGACCTTTGACACTTTCTGTCCTTTGTGCCGTTTGTAAAACAGGCTGACGATGAAACTGGAATCTGTCCAGTGTCACTCTGCAACTCAAATCCCACTCACTTTCCTGACAAAGCAGTAAGACCCCTCAGTTATTCTGTTTACCCGTGTCCCGTTTTCCATTCATGTCAGATTTTGCACCTTTATTTTATTTCTCTCTGTAGGTGTGCGACCATTTGTTGAAACTCTCAAAGAAGCTCCACAGTTTGGAAGTAAGACTAGAAAGTTTGAAAAAGTTGTAAAGTTTAACTTTACAACTGTATGGCTCAAAACAGACGTTAAATATGGGTTGTTGTTTTTATTTTTTCATGATTTGTTTCTATTACTACTAGAAGAAATGTTAAATTTTCATCGTGCAGGCAGTCATCGCCCAGCAGGACAGCAGGCTGGAGCTGCAGAAGGCCTTCCAGACAAAGAGCAAGCAGCCCGCTCGTAGCTACAACAACGTGCTGCTCGAGCAGGAGAAGCAGCGCGCGCTGAAGAAGCAGCAAGAGGACATGGCCGTGCTGCAGAAGCATCAGGATGAGGTGCAGCACTGGGAGAACGAGAGGAACCGTCAGAGGCTCCAGATGGAGGCTCAGGAGACCGAGCTGAAGCAGAGAGAGGAGGAGTGCAGGAGAAGGGAAAAGAAGCTGAACGAGGAGGACGCAGAGCTGAAGAAGCAATGGGAAACCTGCCAGCAGAACCTGGAGAAGCTGAGAGAAACCTCCAAAAAGACAGACAAGGAAAAAGAGCTGCTTCGTAAAGAGAAGGAACGATTGGAGAAGCTGAAGATCGGTCCGTACCGCAATTATGATGATCCTGCACTGGTGAGAAGTTTGGAAAAAATTAGATTTATTAATATTACTGACTAATATTTTGTCATTGGTTCATAAATTTAAGCTCATGTGATCTTTATTTCAAAGTGGTTTCTAGTTTTAAACGATTGCATTAGAAATTTGGAGGGGAAAAAAGAAGAAATCTAATTTTAAAATTTACAAAAAAAAATTTAAAAATCATACAGAATATGGAAGAGGATCTTTAATCTATTAAGAATAATAAAGGACGAGTTGGTTTAGTTTAACGCCCTTAAATCATTTTTCTTTTATCTTCACCATCAGTCGCCTTACCCATCCTTCAGGGGGAGCGTAGTAAACGGAGGTGGGACTCTGAGAGCTCCTCTCGGTAATTTTTCTGACACAAAAGAGATTCCTCCACGAGTTCCACCTCGGCGGGAGAGCGTCAGCCAAAAAGCGCACGTTTCTCGAGTCAGCGCCACCATGCCGGGGCAGAGAACTAAAGTGGTGCAGCAGATCCCCCGCGAGCTGGCTACGACCTCCAGACGAAGAGATAAAAGCTTCAAGGGGAATCGGGCTCACAAGAGAGCGCACAGCGCAGGTCAGTCATCGAGGCTTTGGTTGGGTTTTAAACCTTTAGAACGTGTCTTTACAACTCGAGAGAACAGAGCTGGATCAAACCTACGAGGCTGCAGGGAATGTTTCCAGAAATTACTTGTTACATTGTAAAGAGTAAAATTTGTGAATACATTCCATCTCCAATAATAACTCAAATCAACCTTTTAGATCTGAATGATCTACTTGACATGGACCTGAGCCTGTACAGACCGACCTTCTAACATGATGTACATTCTGCTTTTGTCTTTGGTCCTCCAGCTAACATAGACGTGAGTCAGGTGGTGCCGATCCGAGTGACGGGGAAAGAAGGAGGCAGTCTGAAGACCACGAGGAACGTCAGTCCTCAAAGGAGCTTAAATTCAGGTACAAATTTAAAAACCTCCTCATTCTAAACTATTATCTATCCAAAGAACGAGTTCAGTGCTCCAAGATGAGGCTTATTTTTTTTTTACATCAAACACTTAATTCTTCTAAACCAGCGGTCCTCAGACTTTTTTTTTAATTGAGCAAACAAAAGTATCAACGCATCAAACAAGTATTTGCTACATTCAAATTCAATTCAAAAATACTTTATTAATCCCAAAGGGAAATTATTTGTTGCTGTAACTCATTATCCTCATTTCATTGAGAGATGTTATAGATGCTGATGGCTGTAGGCAGGAAGGATCTCTTGTAAAGATCCATCCCACAGTGGATCCTAAGAAACTGGCTGCAGATGCCGTCCGATCCGTCCACCCAGACTCAGCTGGCCTCTCGGTTCCTCCGGGCTGTAGGAGCGTCCGAATGCCGGGCAGAACTCCTCCCAGAGCGATGGCCACTCCTCCCAGCAGTCTGCTGAGCTCCTCTTCGCTGCGGACAGACAACTGTAGGTGCAGAGGGACGATCCTGTCCTTCCGCTGTCATGAGCCGTGTTTCCTGTTAGTTCCAGGATCTCAGTGGTCAGGCACTCGAGCACAGCTGGCATGTAGATGAGAATCCATCCACAGTACATCCTTTTCAACTTATTTGAGATTTGGGGCAGTAGTTGAGATATTATTTGAGCTTTTGAGATGTTAATCAGCTGCTGTTGGTTGTAGAAAACTGCCTTGTTGCCATGGTTACGCATCATAACAAATGTCCAAAACTAAAAAAGTTTCAGTAAAAATCCTTCCAGCTGCACAGCATCCAATACCAGAGGAAACAATCATCCAAAAAAATGTGACTTGCATCCAGAAAAATAGGAAGTTTCCAAAAGCAAAATCTCAGAATAAAAGTAACAGAGCTGCTCCAACATGCAGCCACCTTGAGCGGCGCAATTGAACATGAACTGAAACCTTTAAAATCTTATCCTTTTGAGTGAAATAATGTAATTTAAAGCAGAGGTCTGTCAGTCAGGCAAAAAAATAATAATAATTAAGTTATTTTGACTGTGCTGCACATTTTTATACGTCACTCTTCTGAATGCAAGTCAAGTCAGCTTCGTCAGTTTCCGTCATGCACAAGACGTACAGACAATCAAAATTACAGTCCATTATCTTTTACCAAAATTCCAAGGTTCCAAATATAAACCAGATTAGTGCATTCAAATCTCAAAATCTTGTTTATGTTGTTATAACTCCATATAACACTGAAGTCTCCAGATATTTATAACTACAAACGTGTGAAACTGAGAGAACAAAGAGTTTTAAAGGAAAAAATAAAAGTGAACCAGAGATGTCTTTGCTGTAATCTTAGGCAAATAAATTAACATATTTTAGTGTCAGTGTTTGACTCCAAGAACTAAAGCAGCAGAAACAACAGGCTCCCGTGGCACCCAAACATGTTTCGGTACAACACCTGTCCCGCTGTGAGCTTTTAGCAATGAAGCGAGCAACGTGGAGCGGAGGAGAACTCAGCTCTAGGTGCAGCGACGCCTCCTTCTTTAATAAAATACGATGAGCTAACTCAGTTTAGTAATCCTTGATTCAATTCATGGATTTAGCAGTAAATACTTCTTCATTTTCCAAACTTATGCTCTGTTAAAGAGAAAAATAACAAATACAGGAATACTTTTGTAGTTTACTGTTTTATTCAGATTCAGTTTATTATTGTCAATGAACAGGATTCACAGACTAGGAACTTGCTTCGGCATAAAGGTGCAAATAAAATATAAAAGAAAACATATGTACACCAATACAACACAATACTCAGAAAAAATGTGCAATTGGAGTAGTGCAGTTAAAATACAGTGATAAAGTGGCCAAAGCAGAGTTATAAAGTAACGTGATTATGAGTGTTCAAGAGTCCGACGGCAGAGGGGAAGAAACTGTTCTTATGGCGGGAAGCTCTGGTCCGAATGGGCCGAAGCCTCCTGCCCGAGAGGAGTGGTTCGAATATATATGCATCCCTAAAATGGGTTCAGGCGGCAACGTTGCATTGCAGCGTTGGTTCCACCTGCTACATGTTTCATTTTAGCGAGGGGCAGCATGGCTCTGAGCCCCACAGTTTGAGAACTACTACTCTAAACACAGGTGTTCCCATCCAGTTAAGTGTTTCTTTACACTTTCATCAGCTTCTTTGTGAAGAAACACGACTGCCTGGACAAAAACAACAAATCAGCTGTTGTCAGTCTTTTGGTTAATATTTTTATAGTTGACTAAATATTTTTTTAGGATATCTTCAGCTGGTGGGTCCTCAGCTAAATCTACCTTATTCTGAGGTTGTTGTTTTTTAACTTCTCAGTAGTTTGACTTTTTTATGTCATATTTGTGCCTGAAAGCGCCATTAAATCTGTAAAACCATTAAATCGTAAACAGCGCCCTCTGTTGGAGGATGTGTGCATCTGTATTACTGTGAAGGAGGAAATCTGTCGAGTAAAGGCTCAGCAACAACGACAATAAAACTGAACGTTATAATAAATGTGGAATTTGTAAAAGTCATAATGTAGAAAACGTTGTTTTAACGTGGCGTTCAGACTTTGGGGAGCTGCCTAAGTTTCTCTGCCCCTCCACAGATACGTTCAGGCCTCCAGCCCCCACTCAGAATGTAAAACCATCTCAGTTCAACACAAACAGAAGGGACAGCAGCGAAGGTCCTCCATCTCCACCTCCTCCTCCGCTCCCTCCCTTCCCAAAAGACCTTAAGAAAAAAGAAGAAAAGATGGTGATGGTTTAACGGTGAGTTTGGATGGACTTGCATGCACAGAGACGCTGGCGGAGCGCTGAAGACGTCGCCCGCGACTCCACGGCGGTTTGCGACGAAACGTTTGAAAAAGAGAAAACCTGTTTGAGGTGAGGATGAAACGAAGAAAAGGCTGTTTATTCAAGAGATGCACATTCATTGTAAAGACTGTTTAAAGATTTTTTTTTTTTAACTAGACCCATTTCTAATTTAGAAAAGTTTATATTTTAAATGGAGCATATTAAAGCCAAAGACTTCCCATATTTTTTTAATGTTATTTTATTTTTTTAACTTAAAAAAAAAAATTATGTAACCATTTAGCACTCGTGTCTTCGGCTTTCTCTTTAATTTAAAAATGAGGTATGTGTATAGCTTAGGTTTAATAAGTTTACATCTTTGTAAATATTCAGTTTTCTGCTGTGGGTTTGCTCCTCGGTGTGGATAAAACAATCTGAAGGGTCTGTTGAGCTCATGAGGCTGAATTATTAATAAAAATTACAGTTTGTACTCCTGACTGCAGACAGTGGCTGTCTCCATTCAGTATTATCAGGATTGTTTCAGTTTAAAAACCAACTCTCATGTGTTGTTTGATGTTTTGGTGCAAGAAAAGGATCAATATGCAGCATCTGGTTAAAACACAGTAAACGCTGCTCGTTTATTTAGCTGGGATTGAGATCGAAAAGTCTTTTTAAAATTACTTTCCCAGTGTTGTGGATTAATTACGTGATGGTTTTTACCAGAAAATAATTCAGATCAGAAAGTGATTTGGTGCTCTTTTTTTTTTTTTTTGTTCCTAACGTTTAATTTTTAAAATGCTTTGTAAATCTGACCGTTTCCTTAAAATTCCTTCTTTTTATATAGACTTGAAAAATGTAAAGTGGTCTGTTCTACACAGCTCTCAGCGTTTAAAGAAACCGCTTCATGACGAAGTCGTCAGACGAAAGTACAAACGACGTGCTCTGATGCCAACATTGTAACTCTTCAAATCTCTTTGGTCCTTACTGAGATCATTTGTTACTGAATTTAATCATGTTTATTTATCCATTTTAAGGTTTAAGTTTTGCCCCCCTTTTTATTTTTTGCTTCAAAACTTGATATATTTCTACTGAAAAATGTTTGTAGTTTTGGCGGGGAAACAAAACAACTACCACGTAAAGGAAAAGATTTGTTGAACTGATGTTTGGTTACAAAACATTTTCCAAACCACAGGAAATAAAATAATTTATTTGCTCTGACACAGTCTGATTTGGGTGCATCACGTTTGGATCAAACAGCTGCTGTCTGATCATGAAGTATAATCAGTGCAAGTTCAGGTACACCAGAGACCTGGGGGGGGGGGGGGGTTCAACTGTATGAACAGGGAGAAATTAAGCAAACTGGATTTTATGGAGCCTCAAAACTTCTAAAATAATAAAAAGGTCTGTTTATTAATTGGTTCAGAAGTTAATTTGCCTCCAAGCTCTGATCTCTATTATTTATTCATTTATTTATTTGTGATGTGTCGGGTTAGATTTGTCGGCCAGTGGAGGGCAACAGCTTCTCACTAACTCATTGTGGATTTACAGTTTTTCTGCAGGGATGTGTAAAACTACAACTGTCTCAAAGCATTAAAGAATTAAACCATAGACTTGAAATGAGCTGCAAAAGTCCAAAGAGGGATGAATGCTGTGTGTCTGAAAAAGACAGAATACTCCTCAGAACATTCTTCACCTGACCCTGTATGTAGTTTTATTAAATATAATTGGCTACATCATTTAATCTGGTATGTTTGTATGAGAGGGCTCACACTTCCTGCTTCAGACTAAAACCTGAAAAAAAACATTTACCACAGACGGTCTCTTTGTTGAAAGCTCACTCACCACAAGATGCAGACCATGACCATATATGTATATATTTATATATGCATGTTTGTGTGTGTTTGTATTTACATGTGTATATACTGTATAGTATGTATATGAATGTGTGTGTGTATTTCCAGTTCAATTCAAAAATACTTTATTAATCCCAGAGGGAAATTAAGTGTTATAGCTCATCATCCTGGTTTCATTCAAGAGTTGTTGGATGCTGATAGCTGTGGACAGGAAGGATCTCCTGTAGCAAATCTGAAGAATCTGGCCACAAATACTGATCCGTCCACCCGGATCCAACCCGCCGTCAGATCCGGCGGGCCCCCGGTCCTCCTGGGCAGCAGGACCGCCCGAACGCCAGGTAGAATTATGCCAAGCTCCTCGTCACCACGGACAGATAGCTGAAGGTGCCGGTGGATGATCCCGGTCCTCGCGTTGTCACGAGCTGAGTTTCCCACCAGCTGCAGGATCTCTGCGGTCAGGCACTCGACGAGCACCACCGCCAGGTTGACGGAAATTCATCCACGGCGCCTCCTTTTCAACTCATTTGGGATTTGGGGCTGTAATTGAGGTATTTGAGCTTTTAGATGTTAATCAGCTGCTCCTGGTTGCTAAAAAAAAAAAACACCTTGTTGCCATGGTTACGCATCATGACAAATGCCCAAAAGTAAAAAGGTTTCAGTAAAAATCCTTCCTGCTGCGCAGCATCTGATACCAGAGGACATGATCATCAGGGGAAAAAAACAATTTACATCCAGAAAAAAGAGGATTTAGTGATGACAACAAAGACAACAATAATCATAATTGAGAATAACAAGTGAAAATAAAATGGTATTTAAAAAAAAATGTAACAAAACAGCTAAAGTGATGTAGAAAACTAAAAACAGGAACATGTCTGTATTGGTTTTTCCCAGGAACTTAACAGATGTTTAAAGCCACTTGGAGAGGTCAAGGTCAACAGCTTGTGCCCACCATAATTGACCAAGTCAACTTAAATGACTAAGTTTAAAACCACTGATCAACTTTTTACACATGACATCATTTCAGTTTGAAGACGAAGAACATGAAGTTATTAAGCAATCGCAGAATAAACAAACTCACCCTTTCAGTACTGAGATGATCAGAAGGTCTCAGTTGTTCGGTCCAACAGAAGTATTAATTACTCTCAGATAATAAATCGATTTCAATTTCAGTCTATTCTTACTGCAAAAAAACAACAAAAACACCATTCACTTCTCAAAAAAAGAGGCAAATGAAGTTCAGCATTCTGGACTTTAATAAATCAGATTCTATGGTAACTTTGACCACACATTTAAATGATCCATCAGCTGTTTCCATGTTTATTGTTTACAAACAAATCAATTGGTTTGTGTAGTTTCATTTATGGTAACGTAAACTGAAACCAAACTCTGGTCCTCCTGTTCAGCAGAGCGTTACTTGATGTTCAGCAGCTGTTTCTCCTGAAGAATTTTGGGTGTAAATTTAAAATGTCTTTTCTCAACATTCCTTCATCCGTCACCACGATCAGTGTCAGATCAGCCTCGTTAAGAGTCTGATTTGATGCTGGGCCCCTCTCGGCTCTTACAGAACCTGCCTGAGCATTTATTTAACGGATTTAAACTGTACAACGAGTAATATATTAACAATTAACGTAAAATGAATGTTGATGTGGGAAACGTTTGTTTCTTGTTCTCGTTTTATTTCTGGGCAGATCAAAACGTGTTCTTATAAAAGTTCTCAATATGTGGTATTTGTGTACTTCGTTGTGTATTCATGGTCTATTATAAATCTGTTACTCCCTCCAAACTCCACTGGTTTCATCACCATGGCAACCAGTAACTCTGAAGAATCAGAGGTTTAAATTAGATTAGGCAGCAGCCTCTTTTTCATGGTGAAAACAGGTTTTTCTTTTGACTTGATGGGGAGAGAGGCTCGTGCTACTTTACTTTTTACTGTGGAGGCCGTTAGATTTTGGTTAAATTGTGCCACAAAATTCCTGCTTTCATAAAACTCTGAAGTTTAAAATCTATTAAAGAAAACATATTGTTTTTAAAAGAAACAGATCGTGACAAACCAGTTTTTCCAGTTATGTTAATGAAAACAAACTTTTCTTTTTATTATGAGGTAAATTAGAAACTTTACATGTACACCTACATTATTAGACTGTAACATGAAGCAACGCAGGATAAACTATCATCTAACTTTAAACCCCTCGAGCCAGAGCCCTGTAAAGAGAGAGTTGCGACACTCTTTGAACTCGCCGATACGCGGTCACGTGGTTCATGCAGCTCTCAATAGTTCCAAACAGCTCATCCTGTCAGTCAGTTTGAGCCGCTGCTGGCGCGACACAACACAAAAATCGACTTTTCTTACTCTACCGGACTTCTTTCAGCAATTATTGAGCAGTAACGAACTGATTACTGATTATTTCACAAACTATGCATTTTATCAAAGCATTTTTAGAAGCGGCTGATACATTTATCATTAAATTTTAGAAGGAAACGAGACAGCAAACACATATTTTTTAGAAAAAAGTTTATAGGGCTCTGCCTCTAGTGGGCTAAACATTTTTTTTAAATCAATATAAACACTTTATGATGATGATGATGATCGCCAACATGTCTACTCTGTAGTTGCTGCGTTGGCTGTAGGACAAAACCTGCAGCCTGAACACTCCACTGTTACAGAGAGAAGTCTATCTATCTTTTAATATAGCTCTATATCTCAACATATATCTATATCTATCTGTCTATATATCTATATCTATATCTGTTTATATCTATATATATCTATCTGTCTATATCTATTTCTCTATATTTATCTCTATATGTCTATATCTCTATATAATTATATCTGTATATCCATTTGTCTAGATCTACATCTCTCTATATATCTGTCTATATCTATCTATCTGTCTATATCTATATCTGTCTATACCCACTGAGCAAGGAGACTCTAAATGATGTATTTTTTAAGTCGTTTTTGCACGTCTAATTTGGGTCCCTCCCAGGTGCAGAATGTTACGACAGAAGACGTCTTTTTTGAAGCCCTGCAAATTTATAATCATAAAAGAGTAACTGTGCACAGTGATTGTGATTATGATCGTAAATTTTATGGTTATAAAAATTATGATTCACTAAGACACAACTGCACCTGTCTTGGATGTCTATACGACCTCCAAGTCCGACGTTCAAACATTCGACTTTATATCGACGTACAAGTGACGTCATGGTTAGACGTCCAGAGTGGCACATCCATTCGACGTCTAATGGTTAGTGGGTATATCTATATCTATCTGTCTATATCCATATCGCTCTATATATCTATCTCTGTCTATATCTATATCGCTCTATATATCTATCTTTATCTGTCTATATCTATATCGCTCTATATATCTATCTCTATCTGTCTATATCTATATTGCTCTA